GCATTGAGATCCTTTCTATCCCCAGTCCTAACCTGGAATAAACAACATCATGTCTTCCGCCAAAGCCGTCCCACATGTTCCGGCGCCTGGGCATCCGTGATGCGATCAACCTCCGAGCCCTTGGCGAAGACCGTCATGGCCGGTTCCGAGCGCCGCACCTCGAGTTCCGCATGGACTGGAATGCCCGAATGCCCAAAGCGGTGCTGCAAAGGCAAAACCTAGTACGCTTACGGCTCCTTCCATTGTTGGGCAACACCCAAATGACAGGGCATGGGTCACTTAGAGCAGTGTGACCTATTATGCACTTGGAGACATGTTCGCTCTTTTGTGCTTGTTGCCGCGGGCGAGGCTGCTTGGAGACTCCAAGGGCAACAAGCTCTGGTTGACATCAACGTGTGTTTGACATTGCAAAACTGATTTGAACGCACCTACCGCAAGGGGTCTGCTCACCGCCTTGTTGTTGTTGCCACAAACAAAAGTAGCACCACCCATGTTCAAGTAAACAACCAACCAAGTAGTTGAGCAAGCAAGATACATGAAGTCAGGTTTATGCGACTTGAAGCTATGGCGAAAGATCCAATTTGCTCCCAGCTGAGTGCCAGGGCGGAATCGACCGAGGAGTAAAACACGAAGAACGTCCTCGGGTTGGCGCGGATGTTGCGGGTAGGTTCGTCAACCGCGTCTGTGAGACGAAAAGCCTTGCTTCAAATCACGGGCCACCCCAAGGATTAGGTCGCCATCTTACAAAATGCCCACAACAATTGCCTCAAAGTACGAGCCGAGCCGATGGGAATATCCTGGAGCTGTCATATTGTTGCTGCATATCACCAACCTCTAGGAAAATAATAGGATGTGGCATGATGTTGCGCTAAAGCCTGCACACGTGCGGCATCCGCCTAGCTGCCTGAGGGGGAGAGCGTCAACTGCACAGTATGTCAGCAGCTGACAAGCGTTTACTAAATATGAATGGTGTTATTGCGGCTACTTACTTGCAAGCATCCCGTCAGCAACGCAAGCCCCTCTGGCAAAATGCAAGGCAATTGCTTACGCAGGCAGCCTCTGATGCAGGACTCATTGAAGCAAAGGCATGCTGCACTGACTGACAGCAGGTAGTATGCTTCAGTCAACACTAGCAAGGGTACCAGCATTGCAACTTGCAGCGTTTGGTATTCGCATCAACAGCTGCACTCAAATTAGTTGCATCTGGTTCACAGCATTCCGCATCAACAAGGCCAACAGGACTGCCCACTCAACATCATGACTCAAAATAGAAGCTCAAAGTGAGACTACAGCTCAAAACCCTCAAACACAGGTTCCGTTTGAATGAAACGTGTTTCTGCACTACCTGTCATCCAAGGCTTCAGCGGAACCAATTCCTTCAGCCGGGTTCTAAGCACACCGCCCCGGTCCACCAGGCACAATCCACGCCTCTGCGCAGGGTGATTCAGCAGCCTTCTCAGAAGATTGCGACCTCTTCAAAGCATCGCACTATTTGCTCCGGCAACAAATCAAATAGGCAAGAGATTGCGAAGTCGGGCAATGTCTCCAGTCTTTAGAAGGTGCGCAGGACTGTGGCATCCTCATGATATACTGTGCTTGGAGTGATCCCAATCATTCTGAAGCAAGCCTCGTACCTCCCTGCTTGCCCTCACTGGTACACCTTTCAAAGTGGCCCACATGTTTTATGACTTTATCAAACAAAGCGTCTCTCGAATAAAATCACACAATGCTTCTCCCCTGTTGCTTGCCATTGCAACCACAGCCTCGGCAACTGAGCCCTTGGACCACGTGACAGGCCGATCTAGGCCCATGGCACAGGGCTCCTCGTGGGGCCCATAGGCGTCGACCCGGTGCAGGGCCACTTGCCTTGGGAAGGCGTTCTGTGGGGCTGACCTTTGGGGTTTCAAATGGCAGAAGGAAAGCTACTCATTTTGCGGGTGAAAGCCACTCATTTTGAGGGTCCCCAACTTTGAGTGACGTCTGTGACTACTGATTATTCTTGTTCCTTCTAGGGTTGGTGTTGCACCGAGAGAACTTGTCGCCAAACAACTGCCACTTTTGGCAAGATAGCCACGGGTTCACATGTGTCCTCTCTAGCTGATGTTAAACATATCAAAGCTGGCTCAATCATGGACCCAGGTGTGACAAGCCAACTGCGGGGCTCCAACCAATGCTGTGATGCAATACCATGCCATTTAGCTTACATCTGTTGCAAGGGATTGCTGCAATCAAGAAGAACACATAACCTGCCATGTCCTTGCAGACCTCCTGGTAGCTCCTTAGCTCTCTGCTGAAAAGCAAGTTTGCACAACGCTACCTCATTGGCTCACTTCCAACCAACAGCTAGCAACTCAGCTTGGTAGCCCGAAGTTGCCGATGGTGCTGAACCAAAGACTTGGTCAACTGGCTGGATCCTCTCCCAAATGCGCTAGGACCTATTATCTCGCGGCCGGTCAACCCTGAATGGGTGGCTGTGGTCAAAATGCTCTTCGCAACCAATTCCCCAGTGAGGCCCTCCTCTTCTCAAAACCTTTGGCCTTGCTCCTTGAAGAGTCACCAGGCCACAATTCTGACCACTGCGAGTACCATCCGGCAAAACTACAACACTGATCCCTGCCTTGGCAGTTCTATGGAGAGGGCAACCCTGTGGGTTGGATACCTTTCTTTCTGGTGAACAGGGACACTACCATAAGCCTCGGTCAAAAACTGCTGTTACTCGTAGTGGATATGGAAACATGTGTTTCCCCCTATGTTTCGAGATTCGACAAGACCCCCACATTACTTTCATATCGACCCTCCAATTGAAGCTTCACATTATGACACTACTCACATGGGCTCCCATTTCAATTCCAAAGGCACTGATGACTTGCCATCTCGGTTTTCCTCCAAGTGAGCTCGCTAAATTAATGCAGCTCGATCCTACTCGAATACAACTTATACTTATACTGAACAATTCGTTCGAGGCTTCACTTAAATGAACCGAAAACCCATGGAATATCTAATGTTGACCCCGGATTAACCCCCTGTTTATCAATATAGGGGTGGTCTTGGTCGGGATTCAGACCACTTTTGGAGGGGCCCCCACCCGACAACCCTCACCGACACTCCGCCTTCGTAGGCCCTGGTTGGCTCCCGGCCTAGCAAATCCAAACCGGCCGGCTCGGAGAAAACCCGCATTTGGGCGATGTTTTTTGAGTTGGGTTTCCTTTCTTGGCTGGTTTTGCAAGGAAACCAACCAGAAAACCGAAGCCATTTTGGGGGGCCCAACCTCTAAAAAGAGGAGCCACTCATTCAGTCTTTGTTCAAGGGGAGTCCCTACGAAATTCCCCCTAATTGGTGGTTTGGTTTGGTGGCAGGGGCTAGCTCCCCCATTTGGTTTCAAAAGGAACTGGTGTTCAAATCCCAAACCACCAATCCAAAAAACCAATTCAGGGGAAGCTTGTTTCCATGATTCTCGTGGGGCTATCTGAAGCGGGGCCGAAGAAAGTTGGTAGAACACCTGCATTGTGCAAGGTCAAGAAACCTGTGGCTACGGAGCAAGAAAGATCATGTGAGCAGTGCTCCAGCTTTGCTCATTGAGCCATAAAACACATTGTTTCCTCAGCCGGGAACGCCCGTCTTTCTTCGGAAACGTCTGTGACTTGATTGAAAGCTGGGACAAAGTTCGGTTCAATGTGCAACACAAGTTCGTTGCAACCAAACACATGCTCAAAAAGCAACAATTGACGCATCATGGTGCATTCGTCCGATGATGCGCTCAAAGCTTTGCATCAGGATAACTACCTCAATCAAACGCGTTGCATGCCAAAGAGCTCTGCAAAACTCAGTGCAATGTCCCGGACCAAAGCAACCGTAGAATTCATGTCCATCAAGTGGTTCATTTCCCCACGCCGCTGCCGCACTTTCTCCGTCCATCTGCACCGACCAGCAAAGGCGCTGAGGCTTCTCGCGCGCGAGGACCCTGCGAGCCGTTTGAGAGGACCACAGTCTATTGAATATCGAACATTGCCTGAAGTGTGCGACTAGAACCAAATATTGCCATGGCTTAAGACTTGAAACAAAGAATCAAACAAATGCTTGGCTTCCTCCCACGTCTCTCACACAAAGGCCAAATGGTCTGCATCACCACCATAGCCAAGTAGCAAAGGTCGACCATCCGCCGAGATCTGCGTCGGAACCGATCTGCACCGTGCAGCCAAGGAGCGCCAGCTGTCAACCAACCTCAAATCAGGAAGGCACTTAAACTGGGGTCATGTTTGGCTGCACTGACGATACCTTCAACTTACTTTCGCGAAACACAGCTTCCGCGGCCTTGCGGACAGGAACAAACATGACAAACATGACAAGCAGCTTCCTTTGGTCTGGAATCTGCATATCGAGCTGCCGATGGCCGGCCCAGGACCAGCTCGCCGCTCGCCGCTCGCTTTTCACGCGGCTGTCCGACGATGCTCCTTAAACGGCAAAACGCTCCAAGCGCTAAGCAATTCCATGCGCCATCCATGCCACTCCCCTGATCCGCACAACTCACGCCCCGTGCCAACGCTCACACGCACCCGCCAAGCGCAAGTATCTGTGTTTGGGTGTGGTAAGCAAACCCTACAACCCCATAGATTTACAGAAACATTGCATGCCCATAGTTCCCGCATGCTTTTCAACTCACAGAAAATTGCTGGTAGCCATGCATCAAGATTTGAAGAGACCTGGCTGGTTGACGCTGAGCTTCACCATGGTGAAAAAGTCAGGGAGGGAGAGCTACCTTAAAGGGAGGGGGGGGTGGGTGGGGGGTGGGTCCGCAAGTCCGTTTTCTAGTCTTCCCCGGCAGAGAGAAAAGGGAGCCACAGAGGTTGCCCTCGCGCAAAGTGAAGCCCCTTGACGGACAAAGGCCCGTCTTTGCCATTGGACTTGCAGCCTGGTCTCAACCAGGATGAAGGGTCAGGTAAGCTTCATGTTGAGAGCAGATTCAGATGCAAGACGTCCTTGGGGTCGGCTTTGCCGGAAAGTCATCCGCCTGCAAAGGCCAGCTCCCCGCCTAGTTGCTCATAGGGGGTGAGGCGATGGGATCGGATCGGAATATACGCAATACGTGCTGTGAAAACCTCAACCAGCAAATGTCTCAATTTAACATCGAATTAGTTTAACTACCACCTAATTCCCAAATTCCGAGGCGCATTTTCAGGATCCAATACTGAATAAACTCTGACGGGGGCCTTTGGGAGCACCCCGAATTCGATTTCCGCGCGTTCGGCAGAACCATGCAGACCATGCGACATAATTTGACTTCAGTTCTAGCCTATCAAAACTTGATCTAATTTACGGACGTGTCCTCAATTCCGCAGACCGGCCACCTACAACAACCTTCTCCCGCACACCACCAGCTCCCAAGGAACCCGTTCAGTCTGATTTTTGACCTTTTGGGAGGACGGGGGAGAGCTAATCGCCCGACGTTAACATTTGGCAAATGGGGGAACCTCCTCTGCCGCTACCTCGCGATTTGCCACACACATACGCCTCTGCATGACCAACGGCCAAAGGCATCAGCTAATGATCTTGATACTGGCTCTGTGCCCAAGACAGCCGGCCTAGTGCAATGGAAATACAGCTTGATCCCAGCTAGCAAGTATGCTGTGCGGCCCTTGCAATTTTCCATACAAACCCAAATCAAATAAGCTCTGGTGATATCCGCAACATCGTGCGGTGCTCTTTTTGGTGCTCGCACCACCCCGCAGCCCTCGCAGAACCTCGTGGAACCCTGGTGGAACCCTGGTGGAACCCTGGTGGACCCCTCGTGGAACCTTATCTCAGGGTCGCCCCGGACCACCCCGGAGCCTATCTGGGCGGAGACCCCAAAGCTTTCAGCTGTTGAAATATATGCATTTTTCATCTGACTGACTGACCTGCAGGCTCACGTTGCTTCTTGTCTTTCCTTGCTACGCTTGTGGGCGGGACGCGCCTTCAGGATATCCATCAGTCGCGCGCACTGTCAGCGAGCCGGACTCCTCCGAGACTAGCAGCTGCCTCAAATGACTTGGACAAAAAAAGTTTGCGGAGCCGGTCAACACTTCGGGTCCCCTTCTGCAAGCACACCCCGCACCACAGTGCCAGTGCAACGATCGTCCAAATTTGTCACCACTTTCAACGTCAGAGCTTGCCAACTTCGATGCGCGTGGCCGCGAGACCCCGCGCCAGTTGGGAATCGACGACCAGGAACCCGCTCTGCGTTTGGAGGGAAGCCAACGGGAAGCATTGCCACATCGGTTGTGTCACACGCGACCCTGTGTTGCTTGTGTTTAAGCGCTTGTCATTTAAGCGTTTCTCGGTGGTTGCTAGACAGCCAGCACCAAATCATGGCCATTTAGGGATCAAACTCCTCATCAGGCGCGGAGCGCTGTCCCGCATAGCTTCGTCAGCCGAGAGGCGGAAACTTCAGGAGCCAGGCTTTGCTAAGCTTCACTGAGTGCTTCTTCAGCAAGGGCTTCAACAACTTCTTGCAGTTGCCGTCCTTCCGAGCGCGACCCTGCTTCAATGGATTGTGGCTATTGCTGGATGTCGGAAGGCTATATGAGGTCGAAGCGGCCAGGAGACATACAGCAATGAAACAATTTGCCTCGGATAAACATTTGCTGTCTGTCAAGGAGCTTACACAAAGAGTGTGTTGGGAAAGGAGATGCCAAGGTTTGCTTTCTTCAGACCTGTGAGCCCTGTGCAGGAAGCCCTAAGTAAGTATCTTACAAACTCAAGAGCCCCTCTATATATGGCAATGATGTCTCTTTGCCAGAGGGTGCATGCTTCACTGGCATCAGCAGCTGCGAGTGCTGAACATTGAGATTCAACGTCTGGTTGATTGGCAGAAGGGTCTCGTTTAGCGCGTCTGATTTACCGAGAAACTATTGGCAACTTCAGATGAAAACGCGTTTGTGCAGAACCGGTGATCATGCGTATGCGCGTGGCCGTGCCAATGTGGCGATGATGATGTCTGAAGGTCATTTGACCGAAGAAAACACCCGAGTCCATGCATGGTCGACAGCCAAAGAAGCCACCGCAATACAAACACAATTGACATAGCTTGATAGTGACAGGCCTTCTTTGCACGACATGGGCACGTGGCTGGCAAATTGATACACATGCAGCAAGAGATTCGTCGACTAGCATTCGTCCGGGGATCCGTGGTAGTAGACTGGGAAAGTCACAAGCTAGCATTGCCCATGGCAGCGGCGCAGTTACTTCTGGCGGGTGGAAGGAGGGCGTGCAGAGTAGGGCAGGCTTGGTATACTTTCTCTTATTGTGCGCATTGCCTGCAAAGACTCCGAGATGCTCCGAGTCCTCGGTCATATTTACGTGTCAAATCAAAGCAGAGTCTTGCACCTGGCAGTGGGGCTCATTTATGTTTGGGTATCGGGTTTTGTCAATCCAGGCTTCTCATTGGGCCTGGTGGAATCGATACATGTGTTGAACATTCAGGACCCCAAAATGGAGTGGTTCAGGGTCTTCCTATGGTCCTAGAGACCTCGCAGAGCCCTTCCGTTTTCCCACACCTGATTCAGCTCGTTCATGGTGATGGAGCCCCTTTGCCTTGCCAGCTCTGCAATGGCTTCAGCCACCTAACAATGCATCGACGGAGTGACTTGCTGCGTCAATATGCTGGCCGCTTTCAAATCCTATGCCAAAGCCATGTTGCCTCGCAATCTGATTCTTTCCATTGACGTACACACACAAACAAGAAACGACAACAAAACAAACACAAAGACAAACAACACAATAACACACAACCATAAGTACGCAAACACACAGCCACATAGATTCACAAACACGCACACCACACAAACACGCAAACAAACACACAAACAAACAAACAAACAAACAAACAAACAAACAAACAAACAAACAAACAAACAAACAAACAAACAAACACACAAACAAACAAACAAACAAACACACAAACACACAAACAAACAAAAAAAAGAAAGAAAGACAGACAGAAAGAAAGAAAGAAAGAAACAAACAAACAAACAAACAAACAAACAAACACGCAAGCAAACACACAAACAATCAATAACAGGCAAACAGACACACCGATAAACACACAAACAAACAGAACACACTCACACACAAACAAACAAACTGACAAACAATCAAACAAAAAAACAAACACACAACACAAACGCACACACACAAATACACAAATACACAAAGAGACGCACGCACACAGACACACGGACGCATGGACGCAAGGAAGCACGGACGGACGGACAGACGCACACCAAACGCACACCCACACACACAACACACAAGACACACACACACACACGCATGCACCCGACAGACACACACACACACAGACACACAACAACCCACACACACACACCCAAACACACACACACACAAACACAGAAACACAGAAACACAGAAACACAGAAACACAGAAACACAGAAACACAGAAACACAGAAACACAGAAACACAGAAACACAGAAACACAGACACACACAAGCCAAAAACAAAACATATATATATATATATACACATCAGTGCGGGACTTCATTGCTCGAGCAGGGCGTCAGTATTCACGGCAGTGCACGCACGCACTGCAACTTGCCTCCTCGCCGGAGCTCTTTGCTTCGTTCTTCTTCCTCGCCTGGAGACAAAGTGGCGGCCCGCGCGGGGGCTGCCAAACTCGATCTGTGCCCGGGCAATGCAGGTGGTTCCTGAAGCACTGCTAAACTTTAAATGTATCCGGGATCTAGTCGTGCCAGTGGGCAATATGGGGGTGTCTTCTTTTGCGGGTGCCCCTTTTGGAAAGGGAAAACACTGAAGCCAATTCAAGCAGCAAACGAGAACCACCTTCTGAACAACCCCGAACAATGTGCGTGTTCTCAGTAGTGAATGGAGATACCCGCTTGCCACTCAAAGCTACTGAATCCTTGCAGAAACGGCTGAGGTTCGCATGACATGTGCCTCGGTCTTCTTGGACTTGGGCTCCTGTCGGATCGGAGCAAGACAACCGATCTCTTGCTGATGTCAATCGTGCGCCAACTGTGGAGTTGACCACATGTTTTGACTCAAGGGCACTGAAGCATTGAAGCATTGATCGCCTTGTCTGGTAACAGCCAAGCAACATCATACTTTCCAGGTCGCGTTTGCGCATCTCGTACTCTGCACGCTCTGATCTCTGCATATTGGCATGGCGTCAGGATGTCTGCACCATGTTTCGTACCGTGCGCCCCTGATCTCTACCCCTTCGATGTTGCAATGGCAAAAAGGCCACATTGTGGGTGGCTTGTCTTCTTTTGGGGGACCCAAATGTGGTTTTTCTCTTGGTTTCCGTTTGAACCCCTCCAACAAATTGGCTACACCGGTCACCAAACAAAGACAAACCCATATATGTTGTTCTTGCAATCATCTCAAATGGCGCAAAGCTGCTGACTGCAGAAAGCGGGTACTCCTCCTCTACGCGCGCTATGTCGGAGGCTCCTCTGCGTGCGTCCAAGGGGTGGGGGGGGGAGGTGTGTGTGTGTGTGTTTTTGTTTCAGTTGATTTTTTTTGGGGGGAAGGGAAAGTTAGAGTGGGCTTGAGTTGAACTCAAGCCCTGAGCAGGGTCTTTTGTTTTCACCACATCTGACAGCTCGAAAACGCACTCAACTCGCCAGGCCTGCAGCCAAGGACTCGGCCAGCGCTTTCTGCAGCTCCTCTTCCTGGCTTGACGCTGTCAATTTTGACCAGTCACCAAGGCCAAGGCTCGTTGTGAATTCCTAAATATGACTCATCTTTGTACGCAACGAAAGTAAGTCAGAAGGTAGTTGCATTTGATTCACTTGCGCTTTCAGATGTCTGCTCTGGATTCTGCAAGCAGCTCGTAAGATTTCGGTTGCCGAACATAGTCGCCACAAGGCAATGCAAAATGCCCCCGATGGCTTCGCTTGTTGCATTGCTCACCGTGCTGGCAATTGCGGGTCTTTCACGTCTTGCATGGATTCAATAGCTCCCGAATCTTCTGTGATATTCGGATATCCGGAACAAGCTGACAAGCCACTGCAGTTCGGTGCGGAAACGGAGGAACTGTGCGTGACATGTTCCTCACAGGCAATGCTCTAAGAATCTCCGTCTTGGTCTTGCAAAGCCTTAACATCATCCAATAGGATGACTTCCAAAAGCATTTGGAGCTCTACAAGTATATTCTTCACCCGCCAGCGCCTGAGTCTCATCTGCCAGCGACAAAGCGATAGCACGTGCCAGCTGCGTCTCCTCTGAATGCCGCTGCTTGAATCTGACCAAGAGCGACTGGCCTTCTTGATTTGGGCTCAAAATGATGCTTATGATCTTCGTACAACAAACCAAGAGGCAGCCCTGATTTGACAAACCTCGATAGAAGCAAGGCAGCTGTGTTCTGACTCGTACAAGCTTGGTTCAAGCAACCTGAAGCAACGTGATGCAATGACTTGCTGCTGTGGCCAATGAGCATCGAGATTGTGCAGCAAAAAGTACGGCCAGATCCACTTGATTCGCCCAAACATGTTCTGATGTCTTGCTGCCACTCGGCCCCACTCACAGTAAGTATTAAGGCTTTGGAAATCAATAACTGCGGCAGTGCCTGAGCCAAGGCCTCAAACCTAACATCTCAAAATTCCAGAGTCAAGCTGCAAGATCTGAACTAGCAAAGGCTACAATGACCAAAACTCAACTCGCCAGAAGGCAATGATGCCACCCTCCACTGCCTCAGCACAAGACTCTGTCCTGCTCCCGGGCAAACCATCGAGTCCGGGTGTAGATTGAAATTTGGAAAGCCGGACGCTTGATGGATGGTTTGCTTTTTGTACGGATGCTCATTCAAAGCGATGTCAACCAGTGCCAGTACAAGCCGGATGCGAGAACGCCCTGTTCTCGCATGTGATGCGCATATGCTGTCACGTTTCGTCCAAAAAAGCCCGTTGTGCTCAGTCGCTCATGTGCACCACTTACCAGCGTGTGAGCGTTGGTTGCTGAGTACATAGCTGACTATATCTTTATCCGCAGAGAAATCTTGACGTCTGCAACATTCTGCAACCACCCTTCATGAAGCTCACCACAGGACCTTCGCCTGCTTCAGAACACGAGCTTCGACGGCCTGCGTCCAAACCCTCCGGATCCTCATCCTCCGCAGCCCAACGGTACTGGTCCAGCTCGCCCGGAAGCAGCTGCCATGGCTCAAACCTCATGGCTCCAATGTGTCTTGCTGATGGTTTCCATTGACTTCCGATGGCAAAAGCGGGCTTACCTTTCGCGCAGCGAGGCCAGGACAAGAGGGCGCAAACACTCGACCTAGTCAATCATTTTGAGGATCCCCAGTTGTGCGTCGAATAACACATTCACATTATTGGCGACCGCGATACTTGGAGCCAGCCCCAAAGGCGAAGTTGTGCGCCGTGGGTTATGAGGCTCCCAAATGGTGAGTCATAATCAAAACCTATTAATAACATGGTCACACCCATCTATGGTTGGCTCTATCCCTTACTGGTCTTTACTTACCCTTGTTTTGATTGTGTCTCAGGTCGGTATCCCAGGCACAAGCTGCCAACGCCGCCGATCGCGCCGGCGCTGGTCCCGGCGTTTGACGTGCAGCGGGCAGGGCCGAGCATGGCATCACCCACTGCGATGAGACAAAGCTGGCGCTGGCCCGACTGCAGTGACCTGGCCGGAAACGGGTGGGTCAAATGCTACCAACGACGACGGTTTCTTCCAATTGCGTTTAGGGCCCCTGGAAAAAATGAGAAAATATGTCCAATACGGACAGATGTCCTTTAAAACCAGGGAAAACAAAACATATTCTAAAGCAAATGGATGTTTTCTGTTGGTTACCTGTTTTGCCGCCAACCCAGTTAGAAAAAGGACAGGTGTTTGCCAACTCAATTATGCAAAAGACCTTTCTTTGGTTGGCGCTTCAAAGGAACTAAAAGGAATTTCTTGCCAATTTGGAGGGTGCCAAGGTGGAGGAAACACGAGTAGGCAACTGGCCAGCCGATTGATTGGGGGGGAGGGAGGGCCAGCAGGTCTGTTGAAGGAAACCGCCGCTTAGGCAAGCAGCTCAATGGTCAAATGCACGGGAGGAATCTTTGACACATTGGGAGCCGATGTTGTCGACCAGAATCTTCCGAACTCAAAACTGAATGTCACAGAAGCCGATGGGGTCGAAGCCATGTGAAGCCCTTGCCAAGGAGCAATGACACTTCGTAGCATCGCCAAACAGCATCTCGGCATTTCCGGCGCCGCCGCACCGGGCAAAGGCGACTGGGATGGCCTGGCCTCGCCGCAAGCAAATGGCTCAGGCCAAATGGGCGGCAACAGAAAGCAACACTCTCCCATCATCTCCGCGGCATCCATGTAACACAACTTTCACGGGCCTGGGCGGCAGGATATTGGCTAGAAATGGTCCGCATAGAAGGCACAAGCAAATGCTACAATTGAAAGTTGTAAACACATGTGCGCTTGGTAGTTGCTAGTGCTTTGGCTTCCAGAGCTCAAGGTGGGTTCTTTTGGGGGGGTTAAAGCATATGGGGATGGATCAAAATTAAACCACCAGAGGAGCAGGCGTGGGTCCATGTTTCAGCTTACCAGGGTCCCATTTTGGGCTTACCCTAGTGGTTTGACCCACAGCCATATGATTCTATCCACCATGTCAGAAACTGCCACCCGCGCCCGCCTGCCGCACAGGTTGCAGGGCAGGCGCCCCTCGAACTCCGCGGGCACCTGCTTGGAGGTGCAAAGGCCGCTGGCGATCCGCACTGAGGATGCCTGCCGAAGAGCGGTGAGGAAGGAGCGTTGGCATATCCTTTCATATCTGACGTCAGATCTGTTCGCATACTTTCAGATCTGTTTGTGGATGTTTGTCATGTCTGTTCATGTTCATATCTGTTCATATGTGCATATCTTCCACGCATGTTCACGTCTTTTCATGCAGTATCATGTCATATCTGTTCATACGGGACTGAGTTTGATTGTCAGCGTCTCTCCACTCAAGCCAAAGTACTTTGAGAATCAGAAGCCCATGCTGGTCTTCCCCTCAACACTCACTAGGCTGTCCTCAGATCCCCTGCTAATTCTATTTTGGTTTTAGTGGGTTGAATGGACACCCGCACTAAACCCAAAAAAAACCCAAAGGAACCGGACAGGATTCAACACGTTCCAACCCGAGCGGGGCAACGCGGGTCCCGGCTTCGGCGGCTTGCCTTGGCACAAACCTGCAGCTTGAGCCTCGCAGAACTTTGGCTGGCCGCTGTCAGCAGCACCACGCCACCCTCGCTCTTCTGCAAGAAAAGCACCTGGACACCACGCAATGGTTGCTATTCCTGGCGTTGCTATTCCTGGCTGATTCGAAGGAACTTGACTGTTAGATGACGTTAGATGATGTTGATGCACCGCATTGAGCAGCCATGTTGCGCTACTCGTTTGCGCGCGGTCGCCATGTGTTTCACTGATCAACTTCCCCGGCCGTTAGCACATTGTGTGCAGAAACCATTCAGCGGAAGGCCAAGTTCGACCGGTAAGGCAGGTCTGGGAGTCTGGGCACTTGACAAATAGTTCCCGCAGCCCTTAGCCGCTTTCCTTTGAATAGGTGGTTACCGGGTTGAGGTGGGATTGCATCTTCGCGGGCCAAGGGCCAGGAATACGATGTCTGAAGCCTTTGACAATGACCTGGCCTCGCCGGCACCCTCCACCGGCCACACCTGGCAAGCTTCACAGGGCGAGCCACGTGCGCGTCGGGCGAAAAAGACATGCCTTGGGACTTGATACGATTTGAGTGGACTCCAATAAGGGGGTGGGGTAGGGGCTTCTACAATCAGTATCTTTAAGGATTTAATAAGATGGATTAAGGTGCTGCAAAGGCAAAGAAGCACACACGCATGAGGTCATGTTTGGTGCAATGTACAGCGCCTGCTGCATGTCTGCAAGTCAAATCGATTGCCGCAATCTAGCATCAGCAGCCACATGTCTCCATGTCTTTCTGCAACAAATGTCCGCCGACATTGCTCGGCGTGTCGGATACCTAAGAGAGGACTATTGGATACCTAAGAGAGGATAGAGGATAACCCCCCCCTAGTCCCCACGTCAAATACGCATGGTTTTTCGGTCGCCACCCCCCCCCCCTCCCCCCCCCCTCCCCCCCCGTAAGATGGACACTTGAGGTCTATTTGGAAAAGGAGGCTCCATTCAAAAGTCAATCCTTACCTCCCCCCCCCCCTCCCTCCCCCGCGTACCGCGCGGCAATTTGATGACGTTCCACTAAACGTAGTCTTCGGGGAGCCGGTGTCGCAAAACAGGGGTCCCAGGCTCGATTCCCCCTGCCGGCTTTTTTGCTGGCTTGGGCTTCCTACATCCTTTTGCCGAAAATCTGGAAACACTCCATGTTTTTGGACGTCTTTCATACATTCATCCATTGCATTCATTTCATACATTACATTCATTACATTCCTTACATACATTACATACATACATACATACATACATACATACATACATACATACATACATACATACATTACATACATACATACATACATACATACATACATACATTACATTACATTACATACATTACATTACATACATACATACATACATACATACATACATACATACATACATACATACATACATACATACATACATACATACATACATACATACATACATACATACATTACATACATACATACATACATACATACATACATACATACATACATACATACATACATACATACATACATACATACATACATACATATACATACATACATACATACATACATACATACATACATTACATTACATACATACATACATACATACATACATACATACATACATACATACATTACATACATACATACATACATACATACATACATACATACATACATACATACATACATACATACATACATTACATTACATACATACATACATACATACATACATACATACATACATACATACATACATACATACATACATACATACATACATACATACATACATACATACATACATACATACATACATACATACATACATACATACATACATACATACATACATACATACATACATACATGCACACATACATACATACATACATACATACATACATACATACATACATACATACATACATACATACATACATACATACATACATACATACATACATACATACATACATACATACATACATACATACATACATACATACATACATACATACATACATACACATACATACATTACATACATACATACATACATACATACATACATACATACATTACATACATACATACATACATACATACATACATACATACATACATACATACATACATACATACATACATACATACATACATACATACATACATACATACATACATACATACATACATACATACATACATACATACATACATACATACATACATACATACATACATACATACATACATACATACATACATACATACATACATACATACATACATACATACATACATACATACATACATACATACATACATACATACATACATACATACATACATACATACACATACATACATACATACATACATACATACATACATACATACATACATACATACATACATACATACATACATACATACATACATACATACATACATACATACATACATACATACATACATACATACATACATACATACATTACATACATACATACATACATACATACATACATACATACATACACATACATACATACATACATACATACATACATACATACATACATACATACATACATACATTACATACATACATACATACATACATACACATACATACATACATACATACATACATACATTACATACATACATACATACATACATACATACATACATACATACATACATACATTACATACATTACATACATTACATACATACATACATACATACATACATACATACATACATACATACATACATACATACATACATACATACATACATACATACATACATACATACATACATACATTACATACATACATACATACATACATACACATACATACATACATACATACATACATACATACATACATACATACATACATACATACATACATACATACATACATACATACATACATACATACATACATACATACATACATACATACATACATACATACATACATACATACATACATACATACATACATACATACATACATACATACATACATACATACATACATACATACATACATACATACATACATACATACATACATACATATTACATACGTTACGTTACGTTACATACATTACATTACATTACATTACATATACATTACATACATACATACATACATACATACATACATACATACATACATACATACATACAGACAGACAGACAGACAGACAGACAGACAGACAGACAGACAGACAGACAGACAGACAGACAGACAGACAGACAGACAGACAGACAGACAGACAGACAGACAGACACGGACAGACAGACAGACAGACAGACAGACAGACAGACAGACACGACACGACAGACAGACAGACAGACAGACAGACAGACAGACAGACAGACAGACAGACAGACAGACAGACAGACAGACAGACAGACAGACAGACAGACAGACAGACAGACAGACAGACAGACAGACAGACAGACAGACAGACAGACAGACAGACAGATATATATATATATATATGCATACATACATACCAGAGAGGGAGATTGGGCATAGAGAGGCTTGGGGGGATGGGGAGGATGGGGAGCAGAGGGAGGGAGAGAGGACGACAGAACACACAAGGGAGACAAGGGAGAGAGGCAGAAGGAAAAAAGGGAGAGGACAATGTCGGCGCACTGAGCCGGAGGCTGTAAAGTAGTGTGACAGGTGAAACGATTCTGTGACTTTCATGTACATGCCTCAAAGTTGTTGTCAAGCAATTGTATTGTATGTCTGCTTGTGAGACTGTCCCAACTTATCACATTAGAGGCTGTCACAGCTTGGCTTGCCATATCTAGCTGCCACATGTTGTGTGCATCTACCATGAGTACCCACGTGTATTGTCTCTCGCACGCATGCTGGGCGTTTCTACCCTCTCCCCGTCCGTTCGTCCATCCGTCTTTGAGTGGCTACGTGTCTATGGAATTGTGCCTGCGCCTGCATGTCTGAATCTGTGTTTGTACCTTTGTTGTCCATCAACGCATTTTTGCCGCTTTTCCCTTGCTCTCTGCCTCAACCTCTCCGTTTGCCTCTGCCTCTTCCTCTGTCTCTCTGTTTGCTTGTTTGCGTGTTTGTTCATTATTTCTGTTTCAATATATTTGCGTATCGCAGTCCTTCTGGTAGTGGCGTGGTTATGTATTTCACTATTTCTGATTTGTTGTTTTGTCATGTGTGTGTGTGTCGTTCATTCCAAAGTCAACACATAAATATACACAGAGATATATGTTCGGGTGTGCTATCTTTGACGTTTCTTGTTGCTTTCTGTCTTGTATCCTTCTTTAGTCGACGATTTCTTTGCGTGCCTGTTTGCTTCTCTGTGTCTCTGTCTCTCGTTCTGCCTGCCTCCCTCCCTCCCTGCCTGTCTGCCGTCTGGCCTTGCTCTCCGTCTCTGCTTGTGTATTGTGTCCTGTCATATAAACAGTGGCAACTAGAGCAGTCCCGATACGTATCTAGATCTGCAAAGTGCAGAGCATTCACTTCTCCAACGCGAACGTCATGTGATATCTGTCAATATTACCACCTGAGGCATGCCCAATGAGGACACGTCCCTTGCAACTCTGCAGGCTCCTCCTTTTAGCCCTGCAACAGCAATGGCGAAGCAAACAATGTCCGTCGAAACAACATGGTTTCCATTCATCGAGCACCAAACCCAGCCGGATGGGTCTGATACCATATGAAGTCAAGCTGTCATGATCATAACGTAGCCAAAAACAACAGCAGCTTGAAGCATGCATGTAAAATAGTCCGTTCCCCCTCATGCTAAACATCACCTCCCCTAATACTAAGTACTAAGTGGGTCCCCATGGAAAAAGCGGTTTTAGCACTAGGGGGTCCCCGGTTCGTTTTCGGAAAACCCTGGGAGACAAATAGTTAAGCCTTCTATTCTTTGGTTGAAGGATTGAAGGTGCAAAAAGGGTCCCCCAACAGGGCTGGATTTGGGCACGGGCAGGAAGATACTTACTTTAGAATTGTTTTGGTATTGGCTATTCTAAAAGTAGTATTCCCGGAATTGGGATTCTCAAAAGTCGGTTTCAGTATTAGAGGGACCTTTCGCATTAGGGAGAATGGATTACATCCAACACATCTCAGCATCACACTAGTTTGTGTCCTAAGTCATGTCAGTGGGTCAGTTAATTGTGGAACTTCTGCGCAAAGCATTGGCTGAATGTGTTGTTCGATCTGCATGGCGTTGGATGCAGGGGAGTCCGTCATGAACCATGCGACGTAATGCTCATTGCCCCAATCGGCAATTGATTGAAGGTCGCTCCATCTTCGACAACCACTCACCCCCGGAACGACTATCCTTCTTCTAACTCATGCTTTTCCCATATTGGCCGAAGGATGGAATGAACGCAAGTGACTAAGAGCCCTCCGCAGCCATCCGCCTCCGCCTGCCGGGTAGCCGCCTGCATGGCTCTCTGTGCTGCTGGCTCCAGTCGGGCGCTGTGGCTGGCCAGCGAGCGGCAACGCAGCGCGGTGCTGCAGTGCAGCCGCAAAGTGAAGGCCGCGGCCTCGCGTGAGTGGCCCTAAGGGGGTGGTACTCGGCCCATCCGCCCAACTAGTACAAGTGGCCTTTGCGGGGCGGCAACAATTCCAAACCAGAAAGGGTACACAAAGCAATGAGCATGATACAACCACTCAAGCAGAAAGCAGGAACGAAGGGCTGATACAAAAACCTTGTGACATACTTTCTTCGGGCTGCCTCAGCAAGGGTCTCAGTGTTTGTGCACACTTCCAATCTGCAGTTCAACGTCTTTTGAAGAAGTGTCCCACCCAGACCACGATGAAATATTGAAAGTTGTGTAATGCAAAGACTCTTGAGACCGCATCCCGTGCCAGTAGTACTGGCTAAGCATTTTTTCGCGCAGAAAGGGCATCAAGGAATTTGTGAGAACATGCACCTGATCCTGCTCTGGCAGAACCCAGCATACAACTGTCACAAAGCAAGAAAGCAGGCTTCACAATGTCACTCTCTTGAATCCAGATCCCGAGACATGATGGAAGTGCAGTCTCAGAAGTATCCATTGTGCCGCCTGGAAAAAATACATATGTCCAGTAGTGATAGATTCCTGTAAAACCAATAAGGGAAGATAACACTCTCTTTTTTTGAAAATGCATGTACACAAGTGGAAATTACTGCTGACTTCAGCCGGGTCCTGACCTCGATACGCGTGGCACTTGGATCTAGTGATGAGACATTTGCAACTTGGACAAACCAGCATTGAGTAGATGGATTGCAATGTTCGTGTCGAAAGTTCCAAAAAAAAACACTTCCAACAAAGAGCTGATACGGAAACAAACTTGTGACTCCAGAAGGGCAGGTACTCTTGTGAACCTCAAACAGCAAAACATGGTGATATAAACACATATCAAAACATATATAGGAAACACCCGCTTCACCTTCTAGGACCATGACTTAGAACTGGTTTTCTGAGACACGCGAACCGTCTCGATCTCCGCGCGCTGTTTCCCGAGCCCGCTCCTCTGGACCTCCAAATGTTGCCACAGGCCCGGCGCCCAGGCAGAAGGGAAGCAGCAGGTAACTCCCCGCCTCCAGTGTCACCTGGAAACGGAGCCGGGCCAACGGCAAACGTACGACTTGTTCATAGCCACATCGAGGCCAGGACCGTTTATGTTCTTACCTCCTACCTGCATATTCCCTTGACCAGGTGTCCTCAAAAGGGAAAAGCTACGTTTATCCAAAGCAAGACTGACGGCCAAGTACAATCCCATCCATGCGCGTGACTGTCTTGCACGACCAGACCGGATGCAACATGCCACTGGCATAAGCTCAGCCAAACATCTTTTTGTTTCGCAGCCCCCTCTCACCTGCAAAGTGCTTCGTGGCTGGCACCGGAAGTGCCAGGCAACCAGCTCCGACGCTTCGAGCAGCTGTTCGTTGCGCAGCAACAGGAGGCTAAGGTCTCCTCAGGGGTTTGTGGTTTGGATCGGGGGGTTTGGTGGTTAGGGGCTGGGAAACCCCAGTTACCAGGGGTTCAAATCCCCAAATGCATGACTTAGGATGGGCTTGTGTTGGCTAGTGGGATTGGGGTGGATTCATGTTCTTTGAAGAGTGCATTTATGGTTGCCTTACAGGCTGATACAGGGTTGGGTCTTGGCTGGTTGTTTGTGGCTGGTCTAGGTTGGCTTCGGGTGTCCAACCATTTCAAGTAGGAGATATGTGTTTAGGATTGATTTAGCGAGGGTGGGTGTCGGGCGGGCTTGAAGTTGACCGAACATGCGGCTGACTCTTGGTCTGGAACTGAGATGGCTGGCAAATTTCTTGGCCGCCTCAGGATTGCGTCTCTCTTATGAGGGCCAGTGGTGTGTTCATAAAGGTTACACATGGAGGTTTAGGAGACGCTTTGACTAAAACGAGCTAAACCAGAAAGGGTGCTTGAATGTTTTCTAGCCACATTTCAGCGCCCGGGTAAGTGGGGGTGGAAGCAGGCAAGCGCATTGCCTGAACAATGGACAAGCCACAAATAAAGCAGCAAGCGGGGTCACTTCACTAGAGGTTGCCCGTAAGTGCTCGCGAGTCTGGGTCTTATCCGATTGTCCCATGGAGGTCAATGAAAAGGCTTGAACAAATGAACCTGGGGAAACAACAAAAAGGAACACCTGCAGATCTGAAGCCGCAAACCCAAGTCAGCGGCAGTCCTTGGACTGACTCCGCAGCGGGGTTTGGACTGCGGGCTTTGTTTCGCGGATCCGAAAGCGACGTGAAGGTTTCTAGTTTGGGCAGCACAGGACCGCAAGCAGCTAGCTAAGCCTGTTGAGCCTTTCTGGGATTCAGGCCATGGAGCTGCGCTACGTTGACTGTGGCGTTAAGTTAGCTCTTGGCCAAACGACCAAGATGTGATCTTGATTTGTTCAAGCAGTCACGAAAAAACACATCTACATCATGTCAGATTCCGAGAATCTGAAAAATCAGAAGCTGCATGTTGCAAGTCCACGCAGAGGGTTTCCCTGGTCTAAAGCTAGGGGCCATGCGACAGTGCGCCAAAATGTTCTGACATATGCAAGACAGAGCTGCCTTTTTCACACATGCTCAGAGCTAGGGTTGATGTTTCTGCAAATGGCGCATTCCTGACGCTGTCGCGGACTGGGACTTAACGATTTCTGAGAGAGCAAGACTCTTCTTGAATTTGTAAATGCAGCGTCGTGCGGTTTGCAGCACCTACAACACTCACTTCCACAACACTTACTCATCCTGCACCCTGCATTCTGCTGGGGCAAGCAAGGCTAAACCTTTTACGTTTACGAATAGGTGTTCGAAGAGTGCCTAGGATGGGGGGTACAAAGCGTAGCGCATTTCGCCCAAACCTTGTGTATAGCTTAGGGTAAACCGTAGATGTGCTTTGCACGCCTTAGAGGTGAGCCGACTTGAAATGTTTGCTGCGGAAATGAGTCACCTTATAAAGCTATCTCGTGGAGATACTGAGCGTTTGTAGCCGACTTAACTTTAAAGCGAGGCGGCCTTCCTGAGGTCAGCTAGGGCTTAATTGCGTGTGATGGGCTTAGGGTCGGATTGCAAGAGGGTTGTGGTCCGCTTATGAACGATGGATGTGGGGTGGTGTTTGCAGAATCGGTCACTCACCTGAGCTGGGGCTAAGTCTAACGTAGGGTGAGCTTGGGGCGCGCGAGATGTTACGTACGGGTGGGCTTGGAATTCTGCTTGAGTTTATTTACTTCCGACTGGAGAGAGGGCAAAAAAGATTTCAATGAACCTCAGGCGAGCTGAGGTTTGCTTGCAACAAATTTAGCGGGCTACCGCGTTGCCCTGGTTTGCGCAGAATGTGCCCCACGCCTGGCTGGTAGAAGCGCTGCCGCTCTCCTCGCGCCCAAGTCCCTCGTTTCGTGGCTTGCAGCAAAGAGATATCCACCGCGGCCCCAGACTCCAGGCGCAGCACGTAGGCGAAACGGCATAGCCTGTGGACATCAAGCCACGGGGAAAAATCGGCCTTTCAGCACAGCAAATCGTTGTTGGAGAAGCGCGCCCCTGATTCAAGGCGTGCCGGGCAGCTTTCCCCCCAAATCGGCTGACAGCAGCGCTTAAGGAGGCTTGCCGCGCTGGCAACTTGAGGCCCGCAGCGATGCTCTGCTGCGGCAAAGCTGGCGCGAACCAAACATGTCCGGGCAAAGGCGCGGAAATGCTGCTGAGAACCAATCATGAGGACATTGCAATACTGCAAAGTGGCGATATGTTTGAAACTGCGGAATGGTTGCCATGTC